GGAGCAATCCGGCACGAGCTCCAAAAGTGTCGCATGGGTAAGGATACCCGCCGCAACAGATCTATGTCTGTTGGCCTTGCAAACAACATGCACGGCAATGGACCGAATCCCAGCCTCCTTGGCGTCGAGGATGTTCGCCAAGATGTGCCTGACGTGGGCAATCAAATTGGGATGGTCTGCGTGCTCCCGAATTATATCGGGGTTTGACCCAACATGCTTTGTGCGGTCGCGCTGTTCATCATTGCGCTGTTGGGCTTCTGCAGGCGTCAGATCGTCTTTACGATCGTCTTTTAGCCACACCATGTCCAACATCACCAGCATATAGCTGGTGGCAGACGCATACGTCGTGGTTGCATGCGTTTCCATCTCTTCGTGCTGTGCGAAGAGCTCGGCTGCTGTCCACTTCCCTCTGACGCGGTGCAGCCAGGCATGGTGCTCGTAGCCCCAGGTAAAAACATCAATAATGATGTCCGGGTTCGCTATGTCCCCCGCATAATACGGCTGCAAAGCCAAATCCGGATTATACACGGATGCAGGGAGAGGCGTGTCGAGCTCCGGACCGTACGGTCCTCCACCTGCCATTATAACCAGGTTCCTGCCATGCGGATCCTTCTTCACAACCGCATCAAACTCGGCCAGCTCGCGGTGCCCTCTTGCGATTTCCTTCGGGTGCACTGTGGCACGAGCTGCAGGCGGAATTCCTGGGCTATCCCCAGGCCTGGCCTTCTCGGTGGGAGGAGCCTTCTTAGGCAGTGCACCTCCAGATGGCGCCTTAGGCGGAGGCGCGTCGAAAACTGTGGCCGACCGCTGGTGACTTCGCCATGGCACTGTGGCCAGGCTCCGGCGCTGCAAGAACCTTCGGTGCAGCCTTCGCCGTTGGGGGCGCCTTCTTAGGCAGTTGCCCCTCTGCTGCGGCCATCGCGGTGGGCTCCGTGTCTCCTACGGACGTGCCTACCATGCAATGGTTCGGAAACGCTACGCTTATACGTCGCTTGGTGTTGTTGTGATTCTCAGCTGACGTGTAAAGCTGTGACCGTGGCCTACGCCTACAGTGCTATGACCATGGCCTGCATCTACAGTACTGTGACTGCGACTTGTTGCCGCTGCATCATCTGCCGCTGTTGCGTCTCGAGGTGATCCGCTCACAGACTCTGAGTGAGCTAATGCGGCAGCGGCGGCAGACCTAAATATAGGAACTGGCGGCGAGGGGATTTGGAAGCTCTTTATGAGACGGGGTTGTTTAACCTGGGTCAAGCCTTCTGTTATGTTTATGCATAACAGCCCTGAGTCATGTGTCCGACACAGCTTGATCCTAATGATGGTATCCTCTGAAGGAAGTCGAACACCACACACACCAAACCGCAAATCTTTGGTTATACCAAGCTGGGCCTGCGCATAAAGGGACAAGAGGAGAGGGGCTGTACCCTTAATCTCATGCGAATCAAGGACGCCCGGAACTCTCAAGTCCTGCTCCAATCCCATTATAGAGAAAGGTATGGTCCTGCTACCCAAGGTCTCGGTAGCACCGCTAAGACCCTTGAAGGTACGATTGCCCTCAGGTTTAAACCTCGTGCTGTAACCGAAGTTCGCAAGTTTCCCCGCCGCGTTTGCTATCCAATCGCTACCGTGAACAGTCGAGTTGCAGCCCTCGTCTAACACGGCGTACACGTGCTTATCCTCGTAGATATTTACTACGGGCAAATCAACCAAAGCCGGATGGATATCTGTGACCCCCTCGGTAAAAGCCACGAAGGCGTGCCTCGTCGCGGAGGCCCTCGAAGAGCGCGATCTCGCCGACGCCACTTCCCAACTATTGTTGGTCGATGGCGCTGAGTGATCGTCTAAGGCCTCTTGCAGGTATGCGAGAAGGTCACCGCGGGATATCACGGGCTCGGTTACAAAGTGACCCTCTATGGTCTCTTGAAACTGGGCAATAGCCGGAACTACTACCTCTACGGGGAGGCTATCCCCCGTGCTGCCGACTATGCTGCGCAGAAGATCGAAGTCCAGGGTGTTGGACTCCCGCAGCACTGTGGCTGCGTCATCCCTAGCCTTTCGCTCGGTCTGCGGCTGCTCATCTAGAAGCATCCCACAAAGCTTGCACTTAATGCGGGAGGTCTTCCTACTGCTACCCGACCTCTCGGTGGAGGTGTGGGGGCATGTGGCCTGATCTATGACAGGCTTCTCTTTCTTCGTCTTGGTGACGGTGCCGCATTTCTTACAGGTCCGCATGTCTATGTATGCGTTACTCCCCGACTTGTTGAACTCCTTGCAACCTCCCCGGCATTTCCGGGGGCCTTCGCTGGACGAAGCAGCTGACGCAGCGAGGCGAACCTCGGGCTGGAAGGGTTCAGGCGGGGGTTCCTGGCTGAGAGGGATATCCCTTCTCGTGATGCTAATGGGGTTATCATCACGCACATCAAAGTACTCCGTGACCCAATCCAAGAAATCGGCCAAATTTATGGATGGGCACTTCTGCGTGCGTCCCCAAAGAACATACCCAGGAAACGTACACAAGACACGCTCATAAGTCAGACCCTTATGCTGGCCAAAGGAGAAAACACGATCGGAACCCTCAGGCGGGCTGTCACGCATGATCCTAGCGGCGGCTGTGCGCCGAAGCTGTGGTGAGAAGAGGGTTTCACTGCCGCGGCCTTTACCGGTATTGGTCTTTGAGGGAGTCAGCTCAAGGTTGGCTGGGTAACCCTCGAGCCTACCAGCGCTCGCATTCGACAGATGGACACACTCTGTGTCATCCTCCTCCACTGCGGCGAAATACGCCTGAGGCTTCGGCGCCGCCGATTTTGCGGCTGCATTGGCAGTTCCCCCAGACTGTGCTGGGGTTGCAGTGCCCTTAGGGCCATTGCCCTTACCGCTAAACTTGCAGGCAGCATCTCCGGCCCAATGGCCGATCACACCGCACTTCAGGCACCTACTCTTTGCCTTAAGCTCTGCTAACTTGGCCTTGCGGTCAGCAATGGTCAGATTGCTACGCACGACCTTCCCTCCGGATTTTCCGGGGGACTTGCCCTTGTTCTTCCCCTTTCCTTTTCCTTTCGCCTGGGCAAATGCGGTCTGTGCCGCGTACGCAAGCTGAACTGACTCGGCATAGGAATCATCCAAATCATCAATTTCAGCTTCATATGCCACCGCCGTATAGGCGTTGAGTTGCAATGCTAGATCCTCATCATCAATCCATTCATCCGCATCGTCTCCCCCAGACGCTGTGGCCTGGTATGCTTCTTCGCCGTAGCCGTCACCGTAGCCTTCCGCGGATTCCTGTTGTTCCTGGTGACCATACTCTGCGGCACTACTATCATACCCCATATAGCCGAACTTAGGGTATTGGGGCTTAGCGTCGAAACGTCTCCAGGTCTTACCTGGGCCACTAGGGTCCTTCTGGGTAAGAAGACGTTCCTTCATGTGCACCACTGAGTGATGCTGAACAAGGACGCGTGCGTACTCATCCACGCTGTGTACGCGGGCGGCGGTCTTGACCATTAACTGCTCGGACCTTTCCAACCCTGAAAGCTCAACAAGGAGATTAGCCCTCATTGCTTCAGAAAGGCGGATATCGGGATCCAGCTCACGCAAGGTCGACCACCACCGCTTTCGGCGGGCTATGTAAGACAACATAGGCTCGCCAGGTTGCTTTGCAAGTGGGCCCGTCAGGAACTGTCCCTGACGGAAGAGTTCGGACGCCTCTTCGGATTGAAGAGGGAAGGCTTGCCTCCTGATTTCTTCTATCAGGTAGTCGACGCCGTCATGGCGAAGCAGACGTTCCAGGCCGACGTCGCGAGCGATGCAAAAGGCATCTCCTCGGAGACCCTCTAGGATCTTGCTAACACACTCGCTCATGTCGAGCGACTCGTCCTTGACGTCTTGCAAGGTGTACACCGCCGGATCTGTGTCCGGCTCTTGCTCGTCGTCCCCCGTCACTTGACTGGGGTGCGACGGTAGCGACTCCGCATCCTCTTCTTCTGCCTCGGACACGGGCTTAGTCCGTTTTGCGCTGGACGGACTGGCGGGTATACCGCTGCTCGCATCGCCCTCTGTGGGGGATGCACTGGTCCCTTGACTGGCCCTGCCACGCCACTTCCTTGGTGACTCGCTCTTGGACCTTGCTGACTCGGCAAAACGCAGGTCCTTCACAGCTTCTCGCCGCTGCTTCTCCTTATGCTGCAGCACACGGATCTGTGTCCGGAAGCACCAATCGTGGAAGCCAGCAGCCGACCCGTCGTATATGTACGAGCCGCTTTTGGTTTCTGCAGGGCTCAGGTTCTGTGACCAGAGATTGGGCTGGTAACGCAAACCTGCCACGCTCATGGCTTCGAGGATAGAAGGGGCCTTTGCGCCGCGACTATCACTACTCTACCCAGCGGACCCCGGACCTCAGGCTCAACGGGGGTGAAACACTAGTGGTTGTCCTCACAGCTCCGCTACCAGTTTGAAGCAGGAACTGGATTAGTGAGTGTCCAACCACACAACGAGCACACTTTTTGGTCTGAGCCCAAGACGTCTGTCGTACAGGGTGCATTCAGAACTAAACATGAAGACTACGCTCGCATGAGGACATGTCAACACGGCTCTTCAAGACAGGGAAATTTCACAGAACTAGAGTCAGACAGCTCCAAGCTGGGCCAGCGTGCCAGCTGGATTGTGATTGATTTTCGGTTCTGTCCCAAGAGTGTATCACAAAGATAGAAGCCAGCGCGGTGAACAAAGTACTGCCCAACAGTCAGCCTGGCAGATTCGTTGCTCTGCTGGACTTCGTATTCAGCGGCACACACTAGACCTGCCCTTCTTGAGCACTTGATCCTGCTAGTTCTTGCCTGACCAATGGCCCTATCAACAACCTGAAACCTGTGGCCAGGAGCCAAAGTCAGGAACTCCACTCAGCACGTGCCGTGCACTAGAGCAGAGGCTGCACGGAGCTCCAACCAGTGACCCCGTCTGGACCAGAAACTCCGAGTTCGCAGTCCCGCGAACGCGCGTCTTTTCTAAAGCCATCTCAAGCCCAAAGAAGTTCCTCTTGCCCAGCTGAAGCGAGTGTCAAGTCCATCCCTTCGTGTGTCTCGCATCATGCTGACCCGGTAGCGCACCTTGGCGATTGCCTTGCCCCCGATGCTGGTGATTCCGTTGGCACGCACACCTGGCAAAAGGCACCTCTCACAACCACCTCTCATCAACACACGCTTGGATCTGAGCGCTGCGCTGAGTTTGGATACCCTGCTGTGGTTGCACAAAGCCTCTGCAGCTGCCAGTGGATTCGAGAGCGATTGTGGAGAGCGGAAGCAGGGACGGTAGCAAAAGTTGTTGCCTTAGCCAAAGCAACGGCTCCAGGATCTCCAATTTCGTTCAAACCTCACCACGTCAAAACGGGTGCAATTGCATACCACGCTTCCAAGAACATTCACATCTACGTCATTCCATATCGCTCAGAGACCAAGGCCAAGACCAAGATCTAAATGCCTTAACGTTGGGCACTTCTCGACTGCGCTCCCGATAGCGGCACCCCCATCCTGACTGGCAGCTTCCAGGGCTCTACACTCTACACTCCAGGAATGTGAGTTGACACCTAAGGAGTGGACTGGCTATGACTGGCTGCACTGCTATAAGGAGAGTTATGAACCGTTTCAGTATCAAGCTTCTCACAATATGCAGTGCAGCACCCAGGCCTTCAGGATGTGGTTGTCAAAAAGTCTGAGCTCCTTTAAGGTGCGAGAAGAGGACACGAACCTGACATGCAGTTTGCCTGCCCTTTCGACACTGGCATGCAGTAGTAGGCTCGTACTGCGCTTCAGGTGATAAATGGGGATACAATTCTGACACGCGATGTGGCTTGGTGAATGCAAACAAAACGACGCCATGATAAACAGCGGGGCTGCAGGACTTCAAGACTCTATGGGCTTCACCGGCGTCGCTTCTCAGCAGAAGCATGATGTTCGTGACAGTGCTGCAGCTGGATTTCCAACGCCGCGACAACAAAATTTCGTCGGCCCGAACCCGACCGAAGCCCTGGAAGTACTGCTGTCGTCTGCGAGATGTGTGATGTTTAGTTTTGCGGCTGCGGGTTTTCACGATGTTGTCATAGCAACAGCCCTTTCGCAAATTTGCTCACCATACATTGGCTGCTTCCATGCCTTGAAACCGCACAGTGGGCGCGTGCAAGCGAACTCGATAGCGGATTCCTGTTTTGGCTGTGGAACATTAGCCAAGAGAAAGGTCTCTGAATACTGTGATATTACCGTGCATGCCAGCGACTGGACAGTACCCAGAGAAACCGCGGCAACAACTTAACCCTCCGAGATCGAAGATGATTTGCATTACTTTGGCTGAGCACTCGACTCAGCTATCGCTGCAGCACCCGTGTCCTGATTATGGTTGTGGCAAGCATAAACGCCATGACTCTGGATCAGACTCGTGTCACACTGCACCAACAAGTAGTGTAGCATCGTTCTGCAAACACCAGCGAGGTGCGAGGATGAATTGCCGTTCTGGTTGGGAGCCACTGCACAGCACCAGCAGCAATGGACGGGTCAATCTACCCGGAGCTACTACTCGCACCAAGGTCAAATGCAACGTTTCTTGGGTTCAGCTTCACTTCCCGAGACCCTGGCCCCAATGCCATTAGCATCCAGCGTGAGGACTTCGAGCACACCCTGACGGGAATCTAGAAATGAACAGGCTGCAGCGACCTGCTGAGTGATGCAACTCTGTCGATACTTCACGACTTGGAACCTTGGGTTCTTTAGGTCCTCCCCTTGCTCAATTCATTCATGCAACAGCACTCGGCACCTGCTGAATCAGGGCTTCTGCAACCGCTCCCACGCCAGCATCAGACAAATTGTTGTGCTGGAGGTTCAGGTCCAGAATAACTGCAGGGAGCAGGGACGCAGCAAGGATCACTCCGAACCGAGGCCTAAGGGCAGCGGCAGAGCGACAGCCTGCCTCGATTGGTTGACAAGCCTTTGGCCAAAATGACGGCTTCTTCAGGACCGAAGCACACGTGCCTGAAAGCCGCAGCAAAGGAGTCAGCTGCCCTGCCCTGCCCTGCCCTGCCCCCCCCGCCCGCCTGAAGTCGAGCTTGGTGACATGATCTGGCATTTCGGGGGAAGCGGCGGCAGTCAAACATGCAGAAGATCGCAGAAGCCAGGATTCATGCAGCCGAAGTGGCCGTTTGTAGAAACATCATTTGACAGAGCTAAAAGCCCCGACCGCGAGATGTTGGCCAGCGAGGCCTCCCGCTGTGGCATCGGCTCGTGCCTTTAGGGTGACTTATCGTCTCCAATCTGCAGGCCTCCTCAACATCCTCATCGATGCGAACATTCAGTCGAACAACCTCAAGCAGCCGCAGGCGAAATGTCGGATGCAGTTGTGCTAAGCGACAGCCTTCGGCGAGAATCCCCTGACCAGCTGAGGCTTGTCCTGAACTTCCCGCAGCGATTCGTCATGCTAGAGGCCTCAAATATGTTGAGCTGGTTGTCTGTCCTTCTTGGGGAAGAGGACAATCGGCATGCGACGAGATGCACGCGCATTTACTTTGTCGCAGAGCTTGTGCAAGTCATCTGCTTGGGAGGATACCCAAAGGGAGCTGGAGGTGAACCTTGACACATGTCTTGTAGCCGCCGTCTGCAGGTGCCGGGCGTTTGTGTAGATGAGATCGGCCAGCGTTGAGATGTCCCGGAATTTAGGTCCTAAGCTACTCCGGGCAAGAGACGAGCCAAATTTGCCGGTGAAGAGCTGTGATCCACGTTCCTTTAAACGGCCTTGTTACATAGTTCTGTTGACCTTTAGATGTGTGTCAGGGCCCCATTGTTCAAGCACGTCCGAGTATGGAGGCATTTCATCGACACAGAAGTCAGAACATTTTTTCAGCGTGTTCGGGCACGAGATCCATGTACACCCGTAGGAACACAATCCCAAACTTCTGATTGTAGCACAACGCAAGAGAGCAAGCAATAGCAACACCTGGAGCTACAAGGCAATCACCCTCGCTTTGCAATTAACCGTTGCAATGCACTTGGGTCTCATCTAGCCGATTCGTGAGTCGGACACACAGCGGTCCCACGTGCTATCCCGCGCAGCCGCGATGCGGTGCTCTGAATCGACTTTTCCGCACTCAAGCGCACGTCTTGCCGACTGCTTGCAAAGCTTTGTTGCAGCTTAGACGGCTGTTCCACGAAAACACTGCTTGATGAACAAGGTGGGTCTTCATGCTGTCTGCTGCTTTCCAATCCACTCCTGTCAACGTAGAGATCCAGAAGAGAAATCAAAAGGAGGACGTAAACAACGTGGATTCAGTTAAACTCGAGACATGGGCAAAGCCACCTCGAACTTCTTCCCTCTGGCATGCAGATATTCCACACCCTCGACTTCTTCAAGAAGGAACCAAGGCCTTTGTTCTCCCGCTTGTGTCGTTGATCAACATGACATGACAAGGCAGGTTCGATGCCACTCTGAGGTCACGACAAACCGTGATCCTCTCCGAAATCCAAGCCAACCGAGCCACCCACAACCCCCAGGCACAGCGCCTTAGCAACCATTGTCAGGTTTTGCAGTTGAAAGCTTTCGACATAATCGTGCACAACCTATCAACTAGTCACTCCATTTCGGAGCAAGTTGCGGCAATGGAATCGACGTCGCCGCCGATGTCGACCGATGCCCTCGCGAAGATGCTAAGCTAGATTCAATCATTCAGACTCAGTAAATCCACTTTGAAGCAAAGCCCCCAAACCCCCCGATTCCGATTTGTCACTGAAGTCAGCCACGCAGCTCGTTCGACATGGTATGCCAATGCCCCTTCAACTCCACATTCGAGCCACACTATGCGAAACTGGCTTCGCCCGGAACTGACTTATGGCTAAGGAGAGCTGTGGGAATCTTGGTATCCTCGGCTTAGGTTGTGCTAAATTTCGGTGAAGTACGCAAGCCTACATGAGCGAAACACTCCCCGTACAGATGTCCTGCATAGCAGCACACAACAGGATTCCAACAGATATGCAGCACGGAGGCACTCCCTCTCGCTCCCTGCTCTCTTTCATCCCCTCCCGCAAGCAAGCAACCCTCTAATCCTTGACCACAGCCGATATGCGTGGACATGCGCTTGCGGAATCCGGTCCCGCCCTCCACCCTATGCATGGAGACGGTCTTTTATCCCGTTGCGTCACTGGTTGCATCTTCGAGGGCAAGCTGATCCCGCTCCGCCTTTGAGGCCGAGTTTTCTGGAGCATCGGAATCTTTTGCCGTATACTGTAAATGGGAGGGCGGGTGGGAAATTTCTAATGGCATGCCCTGATCTGTGGCTCGGGCCTGCCACTGCAGAATGTACATCAGATCCCACCCTCCGCCCTATTGCGCAGCTTTCATGTCCCTCATGCGTTTTCACGCATTACAAGACATGCGCTTGCGGAATCCGGTCCCGCCCTCCACCCTATGCATGGAGACGGTCTTTTATCCCGTTGCGTCACTGGTTGCATCTTCGAGGGCAAGCTGATCCCGCTCCGCCTTTGAGGCCGAGTTTTCTGGAGCATCGGAATCTTTTGCCTTTTGGCTCGCCGCGATGCCTCTCCAGTGAAGCCGACACTTCATACACTTCGTAGTTCCGGGAGGTGGCTCAGCGTAGAGGTTGAAGTGTGCAGCTCTCGCGAAAGGCCAGCCGCATCTTGTCTTCCACTGTGCTGAGCAAACCGTGGGTGACGGGTCCATAAGGTGAATCACTTTCGATCTCCCGTAGGTCTTCACCCATTTGGGCCTGTCGATCAAGACCTCCAATTGATCGGGGATAACCGGCGGGAGGTCGAGGGCCGCCGGGACCGGAGGGATGGCATCGACCACAGGCTCGAGCATGTCCCCGGGAGGCGCGCACAACGCTTTGGGCCGCGCTCGCTTCCGAGTGTGCTGCTTTGGTTCGCCTTCTGCTGCCATCCACGCTTTGTCTTCCCAAGCTTCTTCAGCGTACTTGAAGACAAGGTCGGAGTGCCATCTGCCAAGGTAAGTGATCTCGGGGACTGCGAGCCCTTTGCGAACGTAGAAGAGTGCGCCCGACCTGCGGGCGGAGTGTCCTTGGAGCTTACGGCCCGCGGCCCACGACCAAGCTGCGGTGACTTCCTCCTTGGTTGCCGGGAGGCCTTCGGTCGTGAGCGCCACCTTGGTGAAGCCCCGCGGGGGAGGGAAGCCGTCGAGGGCCTCGAAGTTCGCCTTCAGGTTCTTCGCGATCTCGACTGGGCAGGTGTCGGGTGACCATCGGCATGTGCAGCCCAGCGTTCTCTTGACTCCTTCTCCCCCTTGATCCATTTTTGATCTCTCCAGGACCAGGCTCACGTGCGAGGAGTCCCCGGCAATGGTCACGTCGCCCCACGTGAGCTCGATAAGCTCGGCTCTCCGAAGGATGAAGGTGAGCGCCAAGCCATAGGTGGCCCAGGGAAAGGCCAGCCGTCCTGGGCACAAGTTGAAATTTGCGGGGCTCTCGAAGTCTTGGAGCTGGCACTCTGGAGCTTTCTTCGTGGGCCCCTTGTTTCGGTTCAAAGCCCTCTTAGCTAACGCAAAAGCCCGAGCGGTGGCCGGCCCCATCTCAAAGTCCAACTCCGCCTGGCATACCCTCAAGGCGCTCATGTATTGATCGCCCGACTTGAACTTGGCTTTCTTGAGGGCGGCGGCGCACTTGAGGACCACTTTCGGGGTGAGCGGAAAAGGGTCCCGACCCCGATTCACTGCCGTCGCCAAGTCTAAGGCGTCCTTGTGTCTTCTAGCCCTGGACGCCACGTTGGACTCGGCGAAGAAGTTGCCCTCGAACTCGGCGAGGGCTTCGTTCAAGGCACTCTCGTCTTCTGCGATCTCGAGGGCCTTTGCAAACTTGGGCCCCTTGTGGTTGGGAGCGGCTTCCGTTGCCATGGGCTCCCCGCCGCGCTTCTTCGCTTCCTTCTTCGGCTTCTGTGCTTGGTCAGGGAGGGAGGCCATGCCAGCAAAGACGCCCCCGAGCTTGCCGAGGATTGCCGCCTGCTTCTTGTCTTTCGCCAGGGAGGCCGTCACGTCTCTTGGGGCCACGTTCGGCCCAACTCGTTGCCTCGGACCGCTTGGGTACGACCCATGAGACGCGACAAGGAGGGCCGCCTCGTTGCCACCTCTTGCTGCCCATAGCCCCGCGAGCCCCTGTCGGATGCCTCCTCGTCCGTCTGGGTGGCCACCGACGCCCATCGGGGTGAGAGTTCTCGCTGCTGGCCTCCTTCCCATGAGCAAAGTGGTGGCCGGCTTCTTCTCCTCGGAGTCTCGTCTGGTCTGGGCCTCCTCTCGAAGTCGGAGTTCCTTGAGGGGTCCGGTTCTCGAAAGCTTTGCGGCCTCGGCAGCGACGGCGACCTCGAGGGGTACGTGTGTTGCCGCCGGACACGGTTGGCTTCCTGCTGAACTGCCCCTTGATCTGGTTGCCCTGGGCCCCGGCCTGGATCTGGATCTCGATGGTCTCCTCTGCGGTCGCAGCAGCAGCTCACCACCCTGACGAGCCACTTCACCGCCCATCCCAGCAGCCTTGTGACTAGTCGCGGTGCCAGCCTGCCCACACGATAGGTGCCCCACAGCGTCGCCGGCGGGAAGGTCAAGGCGGTCCACGCCGCGCAGCCGCACAGGAGGAGCCATGCGCCCGTCTCGGCAGCCGGCGCGAGAGGTGCTTGGGGGGCCCACACGGTGAGCTCCATCTTGAAAGGAAAGGCCGCACCTGAGACAGCAAACTGAAACATGAAACGTTGCATGTGTGAACTCTGCAGAGACAGTTGCGGAACCCTTGACGTTACCTGTGCGAACTCTGCGGAGACTGTTGCGGAACCCCTTTCCCCCCACCATTTGTGACCTGCGATGAGTCACCCGGTGATGGCGCCCCAAGTCGCTCCCGCAGCTGTTGCGTCATGCGACCCTGGGGCACCTATGGTGAAATCTTCCCTGCGCAGCTTCCTAGGCTTTGCACACTTTAGGTCCGCCAGCTCGGCCGGTGGGGCCCCCCGTGTCTTGGGCCTTGAGAGGAAGTCAGCCAGCTTGTTGAGCTTGCCAGGGATGTGCTGGAGGGTAACCTGGCCGACCTTGTACTGCTCCAAGAGAAGGGAGAGCTCGGCGGCCAGCGAGTTAAGGGCCGGGGAGGAGGATGCTTCCTTGTCCACCATGGCCAGGGCCACGGTGGAGTCTGAGCGGATGGCCAGCCCCATGTCAATGCCTGAGAAGAGAGGGCCCCATTCCCTGATCGCCAAGAGGAGGGCGAGCGCTTCCAGGAAAGCCTGTGACTTGTGGGACCCCAACTCGAAACCCATCAGGCTGGCGTCCTCCGCGTCCACCGCGTACTCGTAGCCCCGTAAAGGGGTCCAAGGAGAGCTGCTGGACGATTTTGTCAAAAACAGACCTCCACAGCCCTGCGGGGAAGCGTCGGTGATGATCATCACGTGTTCCTTCGGACTCCACAAGTTCTTCCTCGAGGTCAGCTGGCCGTTTCTGAAGAGCTCCGCGAGCCATTTCCGGGCCACCTCAAAGCGCTTCACTGGAATGAGGTGGTCCTTGTTGCGTTGGTCGGCTCGTTTCCCTCGACGGGCCGCTTCCTCACCTGACTTGACCTCCGCCTCGTGTGCTGCCAGGGCCGCGTAGAGCATGCTCACCGCCCACTTGGCTCGCCTGTAGATGCCAGCCGCCCAGGTGAGCTTGCCCGTCACGGACCGCACCTCGGCTACCGGGGCCATGCCCGACCATTTGTCGAGGTAGCCGAGGATCTCCTGTCGCAGCTTGTCGGGGACTTCGCAGAAGAAGGCCCCTTCTCGCCAACGCAGGTCCATCTGTACTCCAATCCAGGTGAGCTTGGTGCCCCTTTCCCCCTTAGCCCACGAGAGCTGAATCCCCAAGGCGCTGAAGGTCAGGAGCATGAGGGAGAGGTTTCTCAAACGCCTCGGCCGGGAGCCCACCAAGGCGGTCAGCGGGTCGTCGACGTAAGTCGCCATCTGCACCTCGGCCCTCCAGTACATGCCCTGGAGCAGCCTGGTGAAGAGGGCGGAGAGGCGGCACATCAAGAGCGGGGCCGTCTTGTGACCGAAGAAGAGGGCCACGAACACGTACACATGCTTCCCGTCGCCCGCCGGGGAGATGCACTGGGCTAGCTCGTCCTCCGCCACCGGGTAGTGAGTGAAGGCATCCACCAAGTCGGCCGCGACGAACTCGGCTGACCACTCGCTGCGATCGAAGTTGTTTGCGAAGTACCAGGCCTTAAGGTCCGGCTCCAGGCGTTTCATCTCGCGCAAGAAGCTGTGGACGTCCTCTTGCCGTGGCAGGACGATCCTCTCCGGGCAGACGGCCTGAAGGTTGGCCCCGGACCGCAGGGCGTCCACTATCACCCGGCGTTTCTTGGACCCATCCGGCTTCTCCTTCACGATGAGCCCCAGCTTGGACACCACGGGCTTTGAGAAGATCCTGTTGGCCTCCTCAAGCGTGAGCTTCTTGACGAAGCCCGCCGCCGCGAGGCGTTCCATCTCCTTGTCGGCGTCCTCGTGGTTGTCGCTAAAGCTCTTGTAGTTGTTGTGCTTTGCCCATTCTTCGGCTGCGACCGCTGCCTCATATGCCTTCGGGTCCTCGTCAGCCTTGGGCGGGAAAACGCCGCAAGTTCTTATGGGCAGGTTTGCCCCGAGCGGCGCGCCGCTCCTCAGCCAGTGGACCACCTCCAAATCGGGGTCGCCTGCGGTGTTGACCCAGGCCTCCAGGAGGTCAACATTGACCGGCGTCTCGTAGTCGAGGAGCCCCTTGAGCTTGACCCTCGGGGGCGTGTGCTTCACCCCGAAGTGCTGCTCGAGTTCCTTCTGCCATTCCTCCGCGAAGTTCAGCTCGAAGCCCTTGGTGCCGTAGTTCTCCGCCGCGGTCGCTGCCTTCGGGCGCTTTTGGCAGAAGGCGTCGAAGAGCTCAGACACTTTGTGGCCTGTTTCGCGTAGGCCCGGGATCCTCTCCAACGACCAAGCCGGCCGCCGGAGTCCGCCAATGGCTGCCTTGTTTTCTTCGTCCCGGGCGGCCTTCTTGGACTTCTGTTCGCGCAGCGATCCGTATTTCCCTGCGCCTCCTGTCCACTCGGCTTCCTCCACAATGGTCGCTGGCATCTGTCCTTCCTTCTTCGCCTTCTCCAGGTCTGCGGCCCAGGCGTCCACCAAGATCTCCGCGTACTTCTTGCAGAACTCGGCCGGGTACCGCGCTGAGGCTGCCGAGTTCGTATGGTCCACCGGCGGGTGCTGGAAGTCTGCGGCACAGCGGCATGTAGCAGAGAGGCAGTGGAGGCCCTTCAGTTTCCCAACAAACCTTTGGGGCTTTTTGTGTTTCGGCTCCCCCTTGCTCTCCGTGGCGTAGACGCACGTGTTAAAGTCGGCGAACTCCACGTGCTCTCTCTCGGTCCATGCGTAGACCTCGGGGAGCGAGAAGGCTGAGCCCGCCTCCGGGTGGTTCGTCTCCGGCGGGTTCTCGATGGTCGTCGGCCTCGTGATGTTGTCGAGCCGCTGGCTGCCCTCGACCGCATCGAGAATGGCTAGGGTGTTGATCGCCATCAAGGTGCCCCTGTCGGCTTCCGCCTGCTGGCTCGGGCTGTTGGACGGGAGGCCATAGATGTGCTGTCTCGACCGCACTGGGGCCGGCTGGCCCGGCACCGGTTTCCAGCGCAGCCTCGTGAAAGTAGAGCAGGGGAACCCGGAGTGCGCCGCATGGTAGTAGCCCGCGGCCGCCTGCTCCACAAGTTCCTGCTGTAAGGCTGGACTAAGAAGATCTGCCCCATTGGCCAAATCCAGGCTCCTCGCTTCCAGCGTGATTCCCCGCCGCTCTGCTTCATCAGCTATTGCCTCGATGAGGACGTCGTGGTTCCCTGAGTACAGGTGGAGGAACCGACGCACATGTAGGTCATCGCCTCCTTGCGCCTGCTGCCTCGGCCGCTTTTGGCCCTTGCTGCTGTCAGCCGCCATGGGGGGCAGCCCGACGACGCATGGCAACCCTACCCGAAGGCCCGGCCGTCTTGCGCCAGAACGCTCCCGGCCGTAAGGGTCGCACTGCAAAGGAAACCGGCAGGCAAGCGAGCACACCACGACACTGAAAGAAGAGCCCTGTTGTTTCACGCCTTCTGGGGGCACTGTGCGCTACGATGGCCCGGGCTGAGGCAGAGACGGCACTTATGCACCCTCTTGACCTTGCCTTTGCAAGCCTCCCCCGGGGGGCAATCACAACAGGGGCCTTTGCCTGCATCCCAACTGAAACACAAGTCTAAACCCGCCTGGTCTTTGGCTTTCAGGGAGCTGTCCTTGCCGGTGCCCTTCGAGTCGTTGCCCCCGCTGCTCGCTGACGCCCTGTATTTCTTGAGCTCCTCGCGCTCTGCCTGCATCTTGACCTTCTTGGCTGCTCGCCTTTCTTTCGTGGTGCGTCGCTTGAGCGGGCTAAGGTCCTTGTCCGGCTGGCCCCCAAGGTTCGTGACGTAGGTCTCCTCGGGCGACCTGGGTGTTCCCCGGCCGCCAGCCGCCATCCAAGCATTTGCCGGCGCCCTGACCTGCTCCTCCCAAAAGGCGCTGTCCGCGACCAGGGCGTGCATCGATGCGATCCAAGGCTTGGTGTCGTCCCAGCGATCTGGCTTGATCTTGCCTGCCGCGATGTCGGCCGTGATCTTCAGCCTCAGCCTTGCCCACTTTTCTCCCCTCGCCTTCTCGTCCGCCATGGCCACGAGGTGCCACGCCGATGGGTACAACTTCGTGAGCCTCTCGATGTGGCGCTCGTACAGCTGCAAGGTGGCCAAAGGGAGGATGTCGAGCATGATCGCCGCCGTCTGGAAGACCCTCCACGCCGCCAGCCACTGGGAGTAGTTCTCGGGTCCCGGGAGCTCCTTGGCGATGTAGGCCCCCGAACCGTCCGGGATCCAGGCCCTGAACTTAGAAGCTTTAAGTGCCCGCCTGCCGTAAGGCTGCCAAACTGCCAAGTCCACGTACGGGGGAAGGTCCAGGTTGTTGACCCGCTTGTTGAGTGCACTAAGTTGCTCCACGGTGCAATCTTCGTCTTCTTGGGGCGTCCCGCCCATAACGGTGATGTAGCGCTGGTACCACCTGTCGGCCGTGGCTAAGGACTCCGGGGCGAACTCTGAGTCGTCGCTCTGATCGATAATAGCTGACATCTTGATGCCCCTCTCCTTCAGAGTAGCTCCCGGCCCCGGTGCCCCAGGAGCAGCAGCGACTGGTGCCGTAGGTTTCGCCCACGGGTCTTCATCGACCCAGCTATCATAATTGCCCCCGCCCCTTGTCCATGCAATCCTTCTGCAAAGGCGCCAAACCAATCCAATCTGGACAGCATGAGTAGGTGTCAGGGCTCTACCATCGGCCAACGTAGTGCGCATCACATTCTCAACGATCGCCTCGCCCGGCGTGGCTGCCAAGATCCTGGAATCTGGCGCCCCAATCTGAGCGAAGAAAGCCGCCCAGGCATCGTTGGCAATGGCATAGTGCACACGAATGGCCTCAATGTTCGTCAGCGCTAGCGCCTCTTCCCGTGAAGGAAAAAGGCTCATGATGGCCGCGCCGACCTAAATTTCTAATGGCATGCCCTGATCTGTGGCTCGGGCCTGCCACTGCAGAATGTACATCAGATCCCACCCTCCGCCCTATTGCGCAGCTTTCATGTCCCTCATGCGTTTTCACGCATTACAATGCAATTAGGATTCCGCTCTGCGGGCATTTGAACGAGGAATTCAACTGCCGGTCCCCGTGCGCACCTAGACCCTCAGCAGCATCTTATCCCCGCAGAAGGCAATGCAGGCCCGGCTACCTGCCTGAGAATGTCTAAAGGGCCCCGATGATGCTTCAAGAGGTACAGCACGACAGCTGCAGTTCTCATGGCCTGCCGAGACACGCACACACGCGCACATGGAGACTGTCCAGAATCATTACCATCCTGTCCGGACTGCATCTGAGAATCTGGCATCGGACCAAAGGCCATGCATCTTGCTGGAGCCATCTTCTCCAGCTCCGATGCCATCAGCCTCGATTGGCTCAATCACCGTGCGACACACTGCATACCATACTATACTATACTGGTGGCATCATGCTCATATCTCTCTCCGCTCCACTAGTCTCGCATCCGTGCAGACTCATCCAGGAACAGCGCACTGTACAGAACGCATACCCTGTCTGAGGCAAGCACTGGGGGGCACGGCTGTGGACCGCAAAGCAGCTCGTGCCTTTGGCACGAGGACGCCTATTTCGACATCAGAGCCAGGAAACAACCGTGCCTGTGAGCAGGCATTTTCCGGAAGCGGCCACCCCAGTCGTGATAGTCCTGGTGCACACTGCTGCCACGATCGGCGATTGGGCTATTGCACATCTCCACCTGCCTCCAGCTCATCGACCTTCTGCAAATGCACCTGGCTCACCAGGCACTGGTGCGGCATTCGTACGTTACTTGATGTTACTTGTATTCAGAGGCCGCTACCTCTGTGGCCCGGTCACTGACACTGCTGTTCTGCAGCCTGCGCTCGGCAAGTGCAGAAAGGCCACTGCCACTGAATGGTTGAAAGCAACCGTTTAGAACTGCCGCCTTGACATGGCACTGCGTATGACCTCATGGCATCCGGAAGGATCGCGATCAAGGCCACAGCAGTATTCGGAGTTCTACACTGCTGCAGTGAAACAAAGATCATAGACCACAATGATGTGGGATTTTGCACCGGCTGCACATCAGGTAACACTGCAAGTGAGTGGGGCCTAGGACGAGGAGGTCGGGCAGCACGTCTGTATAAGAGTGATGCATGTTACATGCAGTGGATGGACTCATAGCTTGGCTTTCGGTCTGCGTTTCTGTACAGGTAACCTGCTGCCAAGTTGCCTCCTTCTGGTCGCCGCGCTCCACGATCAACCACCGGGCACCCTGCCCACAAGCCGGTCAACAACTGCTCTATGTTCGACACGAGGCATGAGATAGCCTCTGCCACTAGGAAGCTCGCTGCACGTGCTCGCGCATGCGGATGCCTGTCCGCTTGACATTCGGGAATGACTAATAAGTCGGACTCACCGCAGAAGACACTTCCAACAGCATGAGGTCCTTGCGTGGAGTTTGCATTCATCACGGACAGCCTGAGATGCCAGGAGCATGACTGTGCACATGCAGGCTGACATCTGTCATCCCTGTACTGGGCGAGAAGTCTGTGAATGGCGCTTCTCTCTGAGGGAGTTGTTCTCAATGAAAGCCAATGGTAGAGCCTCAGAAAGCAAGATTCGTGGCGGCCCTACTTGCAAGGCACTCGAGCATTTCAGCATCACAAGGAGTCGAACTGAACGCTGCGCGCTGGGCCCGCATTGGAGGTGCGTTTCCCGGATCCTCCTTTCCCGACTGAAGTCTGCGGACCTCTCGAGCACGAGCATCCATAATCTCGAGTGCTCCTGCGTTTTCTCCGCGCTCAGCTGCCTGCCTCCTCAATGTCGCGAAATCCGCGGAAGTAGCCCTTGATGCTGCCGTGGCCTCGACTCTCGGAGCGACGGAGGGGTCTCAGAGCGGTGCTCTCAGCGCGCGGCCGTGCCTCTCTGCTCCGGGAGGCGCGGGCCGGGGCCGTCTCTTGGCCAAGTCCCACTCAGCCTCTTTTGGGCGGCAAAAGCTCCGATGCGTGTTTTGAAGAGTTGCGATTTTCCGACGACCTGCCAGGACTCGAGCATGTCTGCGGCGCCTTAGGCAAACGGAAAGTACAACATGTCCGCTGGCAGCGCAGGCTAGGCACCCTGCTGATCTGCAGGCCGTGGGTGAGAAGGCCATTTATCAATCCCACCGTCATCTCCTCGTGAAATGAAAGAATTCAGCATGAGGATGCTTCTGGTCTGCTGGGCTGCTAGGAGGCAGCCGGAAGACCAGGTGCGAGACGCAGTCGTCAGTGTACATGCCACAGGCCTCTGCACAGCTGCCGTACGCGAACAGAATCAGCATAGCAGGTACAGTCCTGAACCGTGCTTGCCATCCACGGAACGCTCTTAGCAAGCTCCAGGCCTTTTGATTCAATATGAGGGCAGCAAGGCCAGGAACTTTTCAACATCACGCACACTGTGTTGGCCTAATTACTTTGGTAGGAAGAGCCGCCAACGACGGCGTTTGCAATTTATCGCGGACGTGGGTCCGTGCGGGAATGCTTCAGCCCCTCACCTCACGTGAGTTTGGCCTCAGAAGCCCTCCTCGAACAGAAACCAGCGAGGAGAGATAGCCGACTTCTATGTCGTAAATGTAGTCAACACGAGCTACGGCAGGTGTTCACGACCAGACCGAAGAGGCATCATCTAGGCCAACACACTCCGCCGCATCGGTGCACCGAGTGGTACAGGATCGCGATCATCCCCAGTAGTCGCTGAAGAGGCGTTCAAGCAATGCTGTCGTGTGCCGCTGTCCATAAGTTCTATGGAACACAGTTGCTGGCCGGCACATGCTGGCACCATGGTTGCAAGCTTGCTCTTCCACTTGCCACGATGCACGAAGCGCGGCTCAGTCAAGTGCAACGTCAAGAAACTGCCTAGTCGGAACGCTTCATGTGGGGTACAGAAACCAAGCAGGCGAGATTGACGTGATGCATGTCAAGTCCCGCTCTTCAGAATTGAAGCTGTAGCAAAGTGACAGGAAGACGGACAGAGCGACATAGAAGGTGCTGAGCTCAAGTGCGATAGTCTTGCCAACTCTCAGAGAAGGGACACTTGCCACGAGAGCTGCACCTTAGGGGTCATAAGGTACACAGGGTCGTAGACTCCACGACATGTACTCAGCTTCCGCAGGCCAACGCTTCCTGCAGCCAGGTGTCCAGCTACGAAAGGAGGTCCCGCAAGAAGCAAAGTGGAGTAGAAGATAAAGGACCAGGACTTCCAAGCTTTGACCTTGGTGTCAATACTGAGGTCCTCCTGCTCGCAAAGCAGGCTCCGTGCGCGCACTACCTCGGATCGTCTTTCCAGCGAGTCACTCCAATGCAGCAACACAGATAACCGGGATCGCTAGTTTCTGTCTGTGGCCCGTCGGGACACGATATCGACAATCTCGTCCTCCGACGCGTGCTCCGAGCGAGCCTTCTGGTCAGAAGTACAGCATGGGCACCAACACCAGAAGCCAAACCTCAGCCGATCGGCAGCTCGAACTACGCCAGAACGGTACATGATTGCAATGCAGGCGTGAGCAGTTCCGGGGAGCCCGTAATAAAGCACGAGCCGTCGAAACCAGGCACTGGAAGATGGGCCGAAGTCTTGATAGGGCAAGGTCACCTGCACTTCCCCTTCCCCACATCTCCGCACATCTCAGAGAAATGAGAGAACGCCTCGTGTCGAGTGCGTCTGCGCATGTCTGCGCGCCTCCTCGCCAGCCAAAATGTCGCGGCTGGCGGCGATGAGGCCTCGGCGCTGTGAGTCCGCGAGGCCGAGAAGCAGGCGCTCTCTTCGCTTAGAGCCTTCCGCTCTTCCCCCTTCTCCGCTCTTCCGCTCTGGCGTTTGGAGGGCGAGGGGCTGACTCGGCTGAGCCTCTCCCTCTCCTTCTCTTCCGCGTCTTCTGCGGTCAGGGTGAGTCTGCGCGCGTTGGGTCTGCAGGAGTGGTTGAAGACCGTCCCCAGGCCGTAGAGTGCTTCGAATCTGTTGAGACGTGCACGTAAGGTTCGCATGAAGCGAGGCAACCTCCAGTTACATCAGACTCTGCATCTGCAGAACTTGAGAAGCCTCAAGTCGACTCAAGCCGCTAGCCTCAATTCTGGACCAAGTGCCGAAAGGCAGCTTCTCAAGCAAGCGACGAGGTATCAGGAAGAGTGGGAAGAAGTACAGAGACGCAGGAACTGCCTGGGCAGGCTGGTGTGTCCCATCCGATCCACCTTTTGTATGACTCCTGGTTGAAAGGACGGAAGGCTTAGAGGCTCACCGGTGTAAGGCCAACAACAGTGCACTGCTAGTTAACCTCAGACTGTGCGCACAGCCCCTGCTTGCTGTAGGGCTGCCTTGGCAGTTCGCGGATGATAACAAGGCGGTACGTCACACTTCAAGGGCAACGGCTTCTCGATGAGGAGGACAGAATGTGCAGGCACATCGTGCTCCACGACGAAGGAGTACCTTGCTTCTGCCTGCTTCTAGATACGCGAAGCCGCAGGCCCCTTGGCCTTTGGCGACACTGAGCTGCACTGAGCTGCAGCTCAGGGTCCCTCGAAGTGGTTCCTTCTTCAGGCGGATGGGGCCCACGAAGCAACAACCCACGGAGCGCTGAGCTTCACAGGAAGCAAGCGCCTCTCCCCACGAACAGATCTCCATGGCACCTTCGGAGCTGCCTGAAGCTGTGCATCGCCTACAGTATCCTCAAAGCAGGACTTTGGCCAAGACTGCAGGCGTCAGTGAGAGATTCCAGAAATCCACGAGATGCAAACGGTGAGCTTGCTGAGTTCCGGACTGAGTTCGTGTTCCACTCAGACCTGTCTAGAACTGCTAATTGCTGCCTACACTCCTGTCTCTTGGTACCCACCTGCGCATGGGATTCTTGGGCCACTGATCGAATGTCACAAATTCCCGAATCCAGTACCTCGCATGTGATGAATGCAAGGAAGGTATGGCTGTTCCCTGAAATACTCAGCACTTGCATGGATCCTGGATACCATTTCGGTGATCTACTGCAGCCGTTGGCAACACTCATAATTTTGGGCACCCGGCGCATCTTGCATCTCGATGATAGCCCCGAAAGCATCACCAATGGCGTCCCCAATAAGAAGCTGTGTCGCCTGAGCGAACAGCCGAGAGTGCTCCAGAAGCTTTGAAACTGAAGTGATGGGCGTATTGATGCAATTCATATGTTCACTTCGCAGCATGATCTGGCAAAAGTTCTTGCGAATGTTATGCAGCAAGAAAGAACATCAAATGAGTTGGTTAGAACACTGTTCCAAAAGACAGCAGATCACAAACAGTCTTGCATGTCTCCTCAAGCTACCTGCGAAGCGACTTCGTCAGCTGTTCGTTGGGACATGCATTTCATCGTTAGTACAGCCAGGTCAAGTTCGAATATGCCGCGCACCCGAAGGGGTGGAAGAGTGGAAGACGACAAGTACAGTACACCCTTCAAGAAGCTAGTTCAGTGGCCCAACAGAACCTGGTTGAACTGCCGCTCAACCGAATCAAATGTAGCCGCTTGAGGTCCGGCTCGGAAAACCCATCCACACAGAGTCCACCCGTAGTTTGGGAAACTGCACACGCCACGCCGGAGTTCAAGGATGTGGGTGGGTTCGAGTTTGGTTTCGGATCTGCTCTCCAACATGGGTTTGTATTGCTGACATCTTCGGAGTTTTTTGCTCCATTCCTGCGTGCTGAACTGAGATGACGCTGAGATTCTGGCTGGGCCGCTGTTGACCAGCAGCTTTCGACGTCGAGCCCTTGCCTCCCAATCCGGCCCATGACGAAGCCAATGACTCCGAGTTCTGTCATTAACAGGAATATGTTGGGCCTGTGGCCTAAGGGGACGGAATTCGTCTTGCCTCCGGGTCGGTTGCAAACATTGGCACCTCGCCGGCTGCAGAGAGACTTCGGCAGAGCGTCCCGCGGCCCACACCTCCTCCGGCCCGAGGTCGTCGGCTCCAGGCACTGGCCTTGCTGGCCGGAAGAAGGCAACGAACCGAAAGGCAGCTGGCCGGAGCAGGGGCATGGCCTCCGTCCTCGCCTGCGCGGCCTCGAACCTCTCCTTCGCAGCATACGAGGTGCCGACATCTCCTATGTTTCGTGTCTGACACAGTCTCAGGAGACGCAGATCTCAGAACTCAACCCACATCCTCGCTGCCGTCGCTCAAGAAAATGGCTCGGCTCTCTTTCAAGGAAATTCGTGGGCTGGACCGACTAAGAATGCCGTGGCGGCTGACGCAGCCAGAATTATAGGACTGCACAGGGACGGATGCTCCTGCCACCTCTTCTAAGACCACGGTGGCTCCTGCAACAGCTCGATGCAGGGTGCTATTGCGCGCAGCAACACTTCACATGCTGCATCCTGGGCGTGGACGGTGTTCGGCTCGACGCCCAGGCAACCGGCCTCCGAGGCCAAACGCATGGTCGGTACGTGTCTGAGCTATAGACCCCCGGCATGATTCCGTACCTACGCAAAGACGGTCCTCCACGAGCTGCACATGCTGTGCCACGCCTCACTCACGGTAGCAGGGGCACAGTCGCGCCTTGTCAGCTCAGGCGTCACCATCGCACTGGCCTGTAGTTCAGGAAGATTTAACCACAACAATGCTTGCAGACAAGAGCCGCCGTCTACATTCGGCACAAGTCTCTGAGAGAGAAGCTACCATCGCGGCAGCCATCACAGGTAAACGTCTGCAAGCACCTTCTAGGCAGCGACTGTCTCATATCCCTACATGCTGCGAACAGTGCGTCGATTCCCGCATGGTGCATTCTACAGGCAAGGACCTGAGAGCCAGACCCAGGCGTTACCCCTACAAGTCGTGACTGACCATGCCACAGGAGACGATTTTGAAGAAGCTACGCTGGAAGACTGTGTTTGTGGACACCCTGCTCCTGGAAAGGCAAGACTTAAGGCTTTGTACAAGACTCACATGGGATACCTGACTGCGTAAACTGGCGGAGTGCAGTGTGCCTGTTGTTGAATTTCAGTTCCAAGGCACTGCTGCCACGACGCACACGTGGTGTCCACACCTGCGCAGAGCTTCATGAACCCAGGAAACTACACTGCGCAAGCGTCACAAGCGTCACAAGCTGCGGGCAGTCAGCAAAACCGGCCTGGACTTGCAGCCATGGCATCTCTGCATGGCTCATGCCTTCACGGCTTAGGCCCAGGCTACTTGCCAAGCTAAAGTCTCAGCCTTTCATGTTGGAACTTCTACCATACAGCGCTCTTTGGCTCATCTGCGGCTCCAAACAGACAGGTTGCTGTAAGGACTCTCCGGACGAGACCATCTTGCTTGTGCTCTCAAACAAGCAGCCTGCAGAGAAGCGATCACAAGTTGGACGAGTGGGAGGTCGCGCGAAATTAGACCAAAGCACCAGGGCCAGGACGACGACACTGCTGCTCAGAAGAATCCCCCCAGTACCTCCAACCCACCGCATTTTTTGCTCTGTCCAGGTGCCAAAGCTCCTCTTCTGTCATGTGTTCGTGTTGAACCTCAAGCTAGAGGTGCCAAACTCTCGTCTTGAGAGAATCCTTCTAGCAGTTAAAGACCTGCTCTTCGGAGTTCGAATCCAACGTTTTCCAGTGGTTGACGTCCACTTTGGGACGTCGCAGAGCAGCTTTAGAGGTGCGCAGGAGAATCAGTCTCACCTGGACATACCTTGAAACGGGAAGGCCGCAGCCTGAGCTCCGGAAGCCCCCTCCAAGTTCATCCAGACATTCCAATACCGAAAGGACAGCGGTCTGACTTTCTCGACATATGTTCGGAGGTGGCGCTCATGGCGAAACACAGGCCGGCCGCTGGCAGCGCATCGTTACGATGGCCGCGGACTCAAAGCTGCTGTGCCAACTGGGACACTCCGTACTCCCCACGCTGTAGGTGTAGGGAGCTGGTTTAAATGGTGTCGACTGTCTGAGTGTTGTGTCAAACAAACGGGGGCCAAAACTAACACAGAAGGCTAGCCAATGAGACACAAAGAAGCTGGACCCCGTCCTGCCGCTGTATGCATTCCAGGCCTAGGTGTTGCCTAGGCATCCGGGCATTCCCTGGAAACTCCTAATTTCCGAGACTGCCTGGGAGGTACCTGGGACTCGATGGGCATCCGCAGGGGGCCATCAGATCTTCTTACGTAGCACTAGTAACTAATACATTTCTTCCACAAGGCCTCCTGCAGAATTTCGTCGGTTCCAGCAACCAAGGCAAGTCAACCATCGGGCCATCCAGATGCAGTAAGCAAAGCTCGCTTGACGCGAGGAGGCTTCGAAGCTTCACGAAAACCGTGTGGCCCAAGGTGTTGCCTACATCCTGCCTTGGCTATTTGTTGGCGATGCCGCCGTGGTGGAAAACTGCAGCTCATGCTTTCAAAGACAACAAACGGGGATCTGAGTCTTCGTCAAAAGCACCCGATGGAGCAGAGTTGCAATTGTGTTCGCAAGACGAGCATATTCTGCTGCCTGCAGTTGCATCTCACTTCATCCCGAACACTGCCCTTCGGTCACTTCTGCTTAGGCTGCTTAAGCTGCTTTCTGCCTGGTGCCACAGCACAGACACCAAGCAATCCTACGGCTAGACTGCTGCAGCTGACGAACATTCACACTAAGCCATGAGCTTGTGTCGCATCTACACTGAAACCCGTGCAACGTACGGCTAATGAAGCTTGGTAGCACTTGCAGCACCTTCGAGGCTTGCCCCTGTCGCGAAGCATGGTGAAGTCTGACATCAAAGGCTCAACACCGCTTAACGTCCGCAAACGAGGCTTGCGGCCTGGAGCTTGGCAACAGCTTGCTTGGCCGCTTCGGCATCCTTAGCCGCCTTAGCCTGCAAGCGACAATATGCTCAGGTCAATTCCACATGATTCCTGGCAGCGGCTTGGCCGAAACACGGCCTCCGTCTGCAGAGCTTGGCGTACACGTTCCTGACAAAGCTCGTTCAGGGAATGCGGAGACACACATCCCAAAGCCCCAAGCCAGCCGTAGAACCCAACAGCCCCGGTATCTCCTGTGCCGCCGATGCTTCAGCAAGCAGCATGGCGGCCTCGATGCTGGCTGACGAACATCTGCAAGGGCCAAGGGGGACCTGTGCCGGAGCCTGCTCCGAGCTAGCGCTCTGTGCCAGCTGCACCGCCTTCAACTCTTCCAGCTTTGCCTCCTTCGACACAGATCCCGCATCAGGTCTTCTAGAGCGCCAGACTTGTTTGTCTCCGATGTCCTCAACGAGCTGCTTCGCAAAAGCTGCTTCTCGCTGTGCCTGGACCAAAACATACGTGGAAGCCCTTGCGAAGCAGCTTCCGCAGCGATCCAGCCTGCGCCTCGGCGTTTCGGGCCTGGGCACTCTCGAGAGCACACTGTATCACACAGTGACGAGGCGGGATCCGGCCTTCTGGATCTCTGCCTCCATCGCAGTTCTCTGCGCCTGAGCGTGCCAAGCTGGTCAGAATCGAATTGACCACCGGCCAGCAACGTCCATCGTCCATCGACCCGGCAAAGCACCCCTGCCTCCCCTGCACGCACCGACTCCTCTGCCTGTGGCGAGGGCGCATCTGGTCCGCTAGCCGCTAGCAGGTAGCATCATGGTTGAGCTTTGCCGAAGCTGATAGGGTTGCCATGCGGGGAGATCAGGCGTCTTCGGGGCCAGTGCAAGCTTCAGCTGTTCCGTGCAGGCCTTGGCGCCCAAGGCCTGTGCCTGAGCTGCAGCCTCACGGGCGCGCTCCTGGACCAGGAACGAGTATTTGTGCCCAAGGAACACGTCCATGTCTAGTCTGCCGGCTGTGTCCTGAAAGGTTGCGAGATATTTGCCCAACTCCACCTTTTCCTTTTCCTTCTCCTGGAAGTAGGCCTGCTCTCTCAGGTAGTTGCAGCCCGCAGGCAGTTGAGACACTAAAACTGAGCTGGAAACTTAAGGAATCTGCTGTATGAGATTTGGAGCTCGTGCATGTGTGCAACTGCATGTCGGCAGTAGTACCAGCATGGCGTATATAAGTTGGTCATTAGCAGACATGTGCACTCGCAGTTGCGCGTACCACGTCGGAGCATTGATTGACGCATTAGTACACGCACACTTGTCCGGGCGAGCAGCTTAGCGAGGGGCGCAGGCACTGGTGCAGCAACACAGACCAGGATGCAAGTGCGTCACATTGGCAATGGAAAGCATGTGCTGAGCCTCCGCGGCTCCCTGCTCCCTCCGCGGTCGGATGGATTGCTTGCTTGTTTGCTCGCGTGCTTGCTTGCCTGCAACGTGTTTGGACCCTGGCTCACACTACCCTCCAACGCTCTCGCACTACGCGGAGTTCCAACGATCCTGTCTCTCTCTGCTTCCGTCCCTCCCTTCCGCCCTCCCCCTCTCTCTTGCTTTTTTGCTTGCCGGGCGTCTGGGGTCTCTCTTGGTTGCTTGCTTTCTCTCTCTTTTCGGCAGGGCATAGGGGGTTGGTCAGACCCGCTGGCCGCCTGGACCCCCCATTTGTTACGGGGCTTTGGAGGAGTGTGAAAGTTGATTGTAGATTGGACTATAAAAGCTTTAAGGATCATCCCTGTTTGCTTTGATCTCTCTCTCTCTCTCTTTTCCTCCCTTCCTCCCTCCCTCCCTGCCTGCCCGCATGCCTTCGTTCCTTGCTGCAGCTCTCTCTATCTTGCATGCACTCGGACAAGAGGCACGAATGCCCCAGCGCTCTCTATCTCTATCTCTATCTCTATCTCTCTCTCTCTCTCTCTCTCTCTCTTGCTTGCAATCGGACAAAGGAGCGCTCGCACGCCCCCCGCGCCCGAAGGCGCACCGGTCTCGCGGTCTGTGAGAGACCAGTGGCAAACTGAGGAAAGGCTCTCTCTCTCTCTCTCTCTCTCTCTCTCTCTCTCTCTCTCTCTCTCTTTCTCTCTCTCCACACTGACTCAAACACAAAGATGCCACTGCCTAATTTCTTGTTACCATCACTTGTTGTCAGCATCTCATGGATTCATGGCTTCATGACTTTAGGACCTGCTATGCGAGGCTAGAGCAAGGTCATCAACATAACTTGTAATGTAGCCAATGCAAGCTTCTGAAATCGAAACCGTTCAAAGGCAGTTGATGTCATGTCAAGGCATTGCAGGGCATACTGAGAGTCTCATGAGTCGAATATGCTGCAGCGTGAGCTGCTACAGGTTGTGTCCCCAGCCTTCGTGCATCTTTATGAGCACTAAGGGTCTATGATCATTCTACAGTGTGTGGATCTGAGGACGTCAGGCCAATTAGCTGCACATACCGCTTCAAAGATTCCTGAAGGCATAGGGCTGCCACTATTGTAAGCGACTCGATTGAGGGCTGAGGCACAGCAGTCGACAGTTCTCGCAAGGAAGGTTCGAGCCTGTTAGCGCTGCACGTGACATGAACATATTGAACCGAGTGTGCTTCGTGGCAGACTCTCACTTGTCAACACCACGCCTGCATCCGCTGTATGTCTGCTGCTAGCCTGACGTTGTCGTCCTCACACTCTTGCAGCCGATACCTTGCCGGGAACGAGACAAATAATGGGCCCCAAGCGCTCGTAAACTCGAGCTCAGGTCAGAACGAAAGGACTTTCTCGTTCTGAGCCTGGTCCTCGAGCAGGGTGATCCGCTCCTGGCAGGGTATGTGCTTGACCGAGTGGTCGTTCGCAGAGGCCTCTTCGCACAGCACCCCAAACTCTGAGCCATTTGCAAGCAACCAAGCACCTTCAGATTCTTCTCATCTGCTTCCATCAAAGGAATGATCTGTTCCAGAGCCTGCTGCCTGAAGCGATGATCACAGGACTCGCTGAGACCCGTTTAAGATCTAGTAAACTCTAGCCAAAATCGGATGCCAACTTGGACCTGGTGTCGGTCTTCTTCAAAGTTTCCTGCCCGCTGACCAGTGTCCCAGTGTCCATTGCAACGTTGAAAGCGGCAAAGACTCGCGGTCGCCTGAATGCGCTGCTCCCGAACCAAGGCTGCTGCCTTCTCCTGCAGTGATGCGCAGGGCAAACGCAGGCAGCCTGGCTACGTTGGCTTTGTGGAGCTCCTGCTGCAGCCGCTTCTGCTCCGTCGACAAGCCTAGGCGAAATCAGCAAAAGGCGAATCGGCAAACGTGACAAAAACTAAGGGCCACTCGTTGCGAATCAGCTTGCGCGATCTGCAAGCGACTCGACAGCTCCTGCTAAGGCTATGCGGTCAGCACCCGCAGCACCGATCAAAAGTTAACCAGAACATCCGAGCATGCAAAATGCCTGGTTCTTGTTGTTCTGCGCACGGAGCAAATTCTCCGCAGCTTGCACCTTGAACAGGGGATGGACACACACACCCACACACAAACAAACACACACAGACCCCACGGTGTACTGACTTGTTCCATGAACGAATTCCAGCCCATCGCAGGACACCTTCTGAGTCAGCGCGAGGATCTGTTCTTTGCAAGTGCGAAGCTCAGCCTGCACCTGGTCCGACAGATTTAGGCAGACGTACATGCAGTCAGTGCAAAGGCCTCTCCGCTGAACTGCAATGCTGATTGAAGCCTGCAGGATACGGGGACAGAAAGGGTGACGCTTGAGCGTAAGTCTCCAAACATCTGAGACCCAAGCGCAGTCTGCTTCGTCTGCAGCACATTGCGAAGGTCTTGCTCCTGTCTGCCAAAGCGGCAGCTTCAGCAGCCAAGTCGGTCGAAGTCGGTCGATCCAGCAGAGAGGCAAAAAGGAAGAAACATGCTCACAAACCCCGCAACCCAAAGCTTCCTTGTTTGTGGCGTCTCTTTTCTCCACCTGGCGAGTTTGGCATATGTTGTTACATTCAAAAGATGAGAAGAGGTGGGTCGCTAAGACACTGCAAGCGGGCTATATGCTGTCGAGACCTGGTTGGTTTGCCCATGCTTAAACTGTTGTCCGCGAAACTTTCAAGAAGGCAGCCTCACTTGAGAGACGCAAGATGCATGTAAGATTAAACACGGGAGCGCGCCTGGCGAGTCTCTTCCAGCTCCCTCGCAGACAGCTGGCAAAAACAAAAAACACGCGCCGGCATCCGTTCAGATAATTGAACTAATTAAACCACATGATGTCGCTTTCCTACAGCGTGAGTGGCGCCTAACACTTTGCTGTAGGCGAGACGTCGCCATGGTGAGCTGGTCCAGTTTCACCTGCCACAGTCGCGACTCAAACGGAGAGCAAAACATTCCGGCGGAAATGGTTCTGCCTCCTTCTCCTTTTGTTCGCCTTGGAGCTGCGAAATCTTGGCAGCATTCTTCTTCTCCACTTCCCTGGCGTAGCAAAGCACACTTCTCACTTCTAAAGATATATGGGCGGGCTCTTCCACCGAGGTCATTAGAATTCTTTAAGCTCTTTATGTTACGTGCCCCCTCCAAGACTGCAAAACGCCTCACCTGCTGGTAGAATTGTCTGCAACTGCAACACCCCCTACCCCCTTTCAGGAATCGATGTTGCACACTGTCCCCTCTGCTGCAGGGCCGCCTCAAGTTGCGCTCAAGCGCAGTCACTTCTTCCTGCAGCTCGTGGCAATTGTCCTGAAGCTCGTGTGGGCATCCGTGCTGCTATGCCCTCTTTGACAGTAGACTCTGCTTGCACTCTAGTCCCAAAGCGTACAACGGACATGCTGTGCACCTGCGATTGTTGCGACACGGTTTGAGCAAACTCGAGCTTGTCGTTGGCATCGTCGTAGATGCTCTGGGCGGCAGGATGCAAACCAACAGCGCCATGACAACAACAGTGCAAGCCTCAACCGCACCTGCAGGGCACGGATCCGTGACTTCAGCTGGTCCTTCATGCCTGAAACCCGATGCTCAGCGCTCCGTCTGCACAAAGAACCGAGGATGAATCTGCAAAACTAGATCTGAATTTCCGGGAAAGTGATTTCGCCTTCCTTGGCTGAGCCTCGCGCGCATGTGGGAGCTCAGCTCCTCCTGCACTTACAGCTCCCAGCTCGTCTCCTAAAAGCCTAAGCTTAAGAATGTGCAGACGCGCAGGGTCCTCGAGCTGCTTCTTGAAAATGTCGTTGCTGCGCTGCATTTCGGACGTGATGCTGCCATGCCTGTAAGCGTTGCTGCACTGCTTCGACTTGGCTCCGCTCCGCTCCGCTCCGCTCATATCGGCTCATCCCGGGTGCCTCTGCAGGCGCTCCTCGAGCTTACTTTGAATCGCAACCTGTGCCGTGACGGAACAGCACTCAGAGACTCAGACTCTCCATTGCAGGAGATGCTCGAAACGATGCCCACCGGCGCTACACTGCTGCACCAAGAGTCGCATAGAGATCGCCTTTCGCCGCTTTTATTTTTCCCGAGGGCAGCGGCCTCCAGGCCACCGAGCAGCGGCGCGCGCTGCATGGATTCTGCCGGGCTGGCGCCTGGGCTAGGCCGACAGCGGCGAAACGCGGCTGTGCTTCCATCAGACGTACGACGTACGTGTGACACGTCTGTGGGTCTGTGGCGCGATGCTGTTTCCTTGCGGACGCTAACACCAAGGCCCATGCGCGTGACAGTCTTCTGGCGCCTGGCTTCTACGGAGATCGGGGCCGCGCGAGACGAAAGGAACACCCAACCTCATACCCAAATTGCCTTCGGTACACAGCCGTGGCGGCTGCAGCAGCACCAAGTGCCAGTGGGGCTGCCTCAGCGCCACTTGGCCGCTCACGTCGAAGCTCCATGCATGAGGGACAGGCTGCGGCTACTCGCTTGGTACAACTGCAGAGATCCAGCGATGGCGCTTCAGAAAGCCGAACCGGCGATGGGTGAAAGCGGTCCAAGCGCAATTTCCTCACCCTCCAGCTAGCCAGCACTCCAAACGATCACAACCGTCCCACCGGCTGCCGGCCCCCACCCAGCCCAAGAACCGCCAGAGACAAGGAGCATCGGACACCGCGAAGGTCCTTGCCGTCTCACTTTCAATAATTCCAAGACATTCCAGAACCAGGTCATTCCCCTCAACGCTCTTCATCAACACTGCTTCATTCAGATTGCAAGCCCACCGAGGGAGCGGCAGCATCGGAGAGGCCCGTCTTCGTGCCCGCCTGCAAATATCTGCAAAGTTTCTTTCTCCCGCATGAACTTGCGACATCTTAGGGAAGGAAGTCGAGCGAGGAGAAGCGACTATGCATCGGTTGGCGTCCCAGGCCTCCGGGGCTGTGCTGCGAGCGGCCAAGGCGGGAGTCGGAGTGCCTGCTGCTGAGCCGACCCTCTTCCAACGCCGGCGCCCGCGCATTGCCCACAACGCATGGAACTCCAACATGATTGGCAACATACAGCACCCCATGGAACGAAGCCTAAACTGACCCAAGCGGCCCTGCCAGAAGCTTGCATTGCAAGCACTCTCTGAAGAAGAGCTCACCAGCAAGAACTGGGCCCCTTGCCCGTTGAACTCGGCGGGACGAAGGCGAGACCAACGGTGCCTCAGCGCGATTGGTGCGGCTGCAGTACCAGTGTACGACGCACGTGATGCGCTTCTGGCTAGCCTAGTGTATGACAGCAATGCTGAGGGCAGTGCAAGCCACAGCTGCGGCCGTTGTCGAGTACTTCCTGTTCAGGCAAGAAGAAAGTGTTGCTGTCTGCTGGTGTGTGATGCACAGCTGCTGCTCCAACGTCGTGGACAGGCCTCACAGTCGAGGCCATCTCGAACTTGACTAGTTGCAGTGCTGCTTTTCCACCACAACAGCTGCGACGAGTTTGGAAGGCACTCGCAGGACAACGAAACATGTGTGAGCAACATTGAGCGACATTATCGTCACGAGTTTTGCAAGCAACTCAGGTGAACTCTCGAAAACTTCTGCCTGGCTGCTGCTTTTCTCTGCGTGCAACCGACCAAGCTTCCTGTTGCTTGCCTGAACCTCGAGCTAGAGATGCTACGCTCTCGTCTTGAGAGGATCTTCTAGCCTGCTCTTCTGATTTCTCAGAAACGACTCCAACATCTTCAAGAAGTTGACGCCCACTTTGGGACAGAGCAGCTTTGGAGGTTTTTTTGCGCGGGAAAACTGAAGTCTTGCCTCAAGCACATCCGAAAAAACCGTGGTTGAGAGCGTATACGTTGTCCGACAGAGAGGCCTGTCTCCTGCACTGAGGTTGTGTGCTCGGGAAGACTCTGGTACTGTCCAAAGAGAAGGTGCCTTCGGAGGCATTGAAATTGAATCTGTGCCTGACCTCCCAATATTCCACGCGGAGAAGCTGGATCGCATATTTCTAAGATAATTGCGAAACCCTGCTTGCATTGTCTTCAACATCATCCTGTTCGTGCGCTGACAGCACCGGAGTGAGCATACCAGTGATACCGTAATACCCGTTTATTAGTTCGTTCTAGCCATATCGCATGGAATCTTGCGAAGTCTCTGCGTGTTTGCCTTTGCGTTGGCCTACTGGCAGGGCGCCGTGGTACCAGGGGTCAATGGGGCCAAAATGGGTTGGCCCGACATCTGCCCAGGCGCCGTGGTGGACTCGACAGCTCGTGCTCTCAGACTGGCGGAAATCTGAGGGTCTATGAAATCTTCTCCCGTGTGGAGGTCCCCATAGCACAGCTGTGACGCGTTCCTCGAAAGACAAGCAGTTTTAGCTTGCCGCTTGCCATCAGAATATTCACAGCTTCAGACAGCTCGAAGGTCTCTCAAGCCGCCCTGGCCTGCTGCCTCGGTTGCGAAAAGGCGGCAGCACGTGCACGAAGCATCAAACTTCACTGCAGCTTAGCTGCTCCTGCCGCAGCTGTGCGGCTTTGCCCTGCAAGTCCGACCCGCCCAACTCTGCTGCATCCCATGCCATGCCAATGAGGTCCCTGTGCCTGGAGCTGGGCAACAGTTTGCCTCGCCGCGTCTGCATCTTGAGCCGCCTTCGCCTGCAGCTGCCAAAATGGCCAAAGCATGCTCAACCAATGTGACCTTGGAGTTTGCAGCACTAGACGCCGTGCTGGTGTATTTTCGGTCTGCCCGACTGCCCCGCATCCCTGCCAGCGGCTTGGCCTGGCTTTGCAGGGCTTGTCGCACACGCTCCTGGCAAAGCTCAGATCGTTCGGGTTGCAAAGACCAAGCCCTGAAACCCAACCACTGGCCACTCCTTTGCCACCGACGCTTCAGCAAGGAGCTTGGCGGCCTCGCCAGCAAACGATGGCAAAAGTCTGTGCAAGAACGATTGGGAAAAGAAAAGGACACGCAATCGACACGCGCCTCCTCCCCAGTGCAACTCTGTGCCTGCTGGACTGCTCTCAGCTGTGCCGCTTTTGCCTCCTCAACACCAAAGATCCAGTTTCGAGACATCAACTTTGCTGGACACAGCGTCTGCGACCTCGACGAGCTGCTTCGCTGCAGCTTCTTCCTGCTGTGCCTGGAAAACGGAGACGTCCAGGGCCTATAGGGCGACTGAAGCAAAGGCAATCCGCGGTCGGCCGGCCTGGGCCTCAGCACTTCGGACCTTGGCGCATCGAAGGGATTCCAGCGAACGGACTCCACTCTCTGAACTGGCCTTCTGGATCTCTGTCTCCAGAGCAGCAGTCTGTGCCTGGATCAAGCCGGACAGAAACTTCTAAGACCTCGTGAGGGGGCGCGCAGGACTTACAAACGAAAAACACAGAGAAGTACCGATCAGATCAAACACGACATAGCGCGACTGCGAATATGATCGGAAGTGCCACACCCATGAGACCTTCAACCGAAATGCTGAAACACTGGAACGGTCAACCTCTGCAGCTTGCGCCGACACCGCTGCCTGTCGGTAGGCTGAGGCGATCACGGGATCAAGGTCCATGCTTGCATCAGAATGTGTGCTCGCATAGTGTTCCCACCGCTCTGAGAACCTGCATACCCTGAGTGTGCCCGGCACTAGGCTCGAAGGGAACACAAGTGTACATTCGTGATGCTGGATCCTGCTTTGCATGGTATGGTGAAAGTGGCTGAAGGCTTAAGGACTCGCACGAGCCTTGGCTCCGGAGGCTTGGGGATGCGCTGGGTTTTGATAAGCGCGCTCCTGCCCCGGAAGTTGCACAAAGGATTCGAAGCTCTTGTCATCTGACGTCTATCGTGAGCCGCCTGGAATGCGGCGAGATGCTTGGTCAAATCCGCCTTTTCCTTCTCCTTCTGGTGAAAGTAGGCCTGGCAGTTTTGCGTGAATCTGTCGTAGTAAACTAGTGAACATGTATCGCCGTGGTTTGCTTACATTGAACTGAATGTTGAAGGCCCTATACTCGTGGCTGGTTTGCCATTTCAGTGAACTTTTTTGGTATGCAGCAGCCGGTTGACAGGAGACGGTGTCATGGGTCGAACTTACCATAGATTTCATCCAAATACGAGCGTGGGAGGGTTTCTCGACGACGGTTGTTCGAGGAAGAAACTTGCCACTTCCTTTCGCAATGGAGTCTTCAAGTTACATAGAGTTAGAGGAAACCAAGTCCACTACATCGGTTCCGGGGGCTTGGTACACTTTCGGTCGTTTCAACAACCGAGGTTGCGTTGGCAAAGCAATGTCATGATGCTGACTTTCTTGTTGCCGTTTGTTTAACCTTCCTCATTCTATGCTTGAGAAAACCCGAGGTGCGCCAATGCACTAAGCCGAAGACTTCACTTTTGTTGATGGAGGTAAGCCATCTTCAGATGGGCGAGCCAAACCGTGTTCAACCGTGTTTGCTGTCGGCCTCGTGCCCTTCCGAGACTGGATGTATTCAGACTTTGCCACGGCACAGCTGCTCTCTCGCCTGCATCTGCTGCACCTCGTCTGCCAGCCTGGTGTTGTCGTCCTCGCACTCTTGCAGCCGATACCTGTTCGCAGTCCCTGGCACCCGAGACCTCGACTTGGAGACTCTCAGCGCTCAGGTCGTGGCGACAGGACTTTCTCGTTCTGGGCCTGGTCCTCCAGCATGGCAATACGGTCCTGGCAGGGGTGAGTTCTCGCCTTTCCGGTTCGTATTTTCTTGCAGGATGTGATGCTACTCAGTGGTCTCCGCTCCTTGAGATTCTTCTCATCTGCTTCCATCAGCGGAATGATCTCCTGCAGAGCCTGATGCCTGAAGCGATGATCAGGGCCCGTGTACGATGTGCGAGGGGACATTGGGGTGTGCCGAATGCAAGTAATTTGCAGTTCTCTAGGCAGCACCCTACATGTCGAGCTGGCCCTTGATGCTGTCAGTGCTGCCAGGGACCAGACCTGTCTTCTGTCCTGTTGAAATTGGCCTGCCCGAAAACCGTGCAAAACAAGACATCGTCTCACCAAATGCGAGGCCGTATGCTGGGAACGGCAAAAGCTACGATGAAAGGCAGCAGGTCTCCTGCACGCGTTGCTCACGCATAAGGGCCGCTCGCTTCTCCTGTAGGGGGGCCCGACACTTTGCCGATGCCAGTGGCAAGGTCTTTCCAACAGCTCCTGCTGCAGCCTCGTCTGCTCAGTCGACAATCCTTGCAAAACGAAGCAAGCTTTCGAACTTCGTGCAAAAATAAAGCAAGCAGCACGCTGATGCATATAACTACCGACTGTTGTGCTGAGGTTTGCGCGCTGGGAATCGGCTTGAGCCAGCTGCAAGCGCATGGACAGCTCCTGTCAGGGCCACATGAGTTCAGGTCACGGATGTACTTCAAGCCAAATGCCATTGCTGGCATCGGTCTGAGCAAAAACCGGCTGAGCCTCCAACTGGGAGAAAGCTGACAACTCCTGAACCCCGCCTGATTCTTGTTGTTTTGTGCGAGCAGGACATTCTCAGCAGCTTGCACCTGCAATGTCGCATTGCCGGTCCGCACAGTTGGCGGTTGGTGGGTAGGCGCAGCCAGCCAATTGCTTTCGAAAACACTTCCAGACGCGATCGTTCCAAAAGCAGAGCTCAACATGGCCAGCGCAGCAACATCCTTTTCTGTCAACTGGCCAAATGGTTGTAGGGCAGGTTGAGATGGTTTGGGGGCGCCTTTCTGGTAAGCACGACGATCTGCTCTTTGCACTTGAAGAGCTCAGCCTGCACCTGACTAGCACAGGTGAGCACAAAGCAAGTCATGCTCGAGCAAATTGCAAAGGCCTCATCGTGCAAATGCAGAGTCGACTGAAGCCTGGTGCATGTCAGGTCTCCATGGAAAATGGATAACACTGTGGCACTCAACACGTCGGCTGAGGACCGGGCGCGGTCTGCTTTGTCTGCAGCACATTCCGAAGGTCTTGTGCCTGCCCGCTGCCATGACTATACTAGAGCAATGAAAAGAGACAAAACTACACAAGCCCAGCAGAAAGCTTCCTTGGCTGCGGCTTCTCTCCTTTCCACCTGGCGGAATCTGCTGTGCCAGACTCAAGCCTGTGAAGGCCCAGCTTAAGATGTGAGGGGGATCTGCTGGGCCCTAGACCTTAGGCCCTTTGCACGGTAGGACGGTATGCAAGCAAATGCCGAGCGAAACACCGCGAGTGCTTCGTCTGCTGCTTATAAGCCCCCTCCCACACTCCAACCAGATTTCTCATTCGAAGCCGCCTGGCGGGTCTCCTCCAGCTCCCTGTCGCAGGACAGGGGAAGAAACTGCTCTCAGACTCGAGGCCCAAGGCCGAAGTCGGCCGAAAGCAAGCGGAAGGCTGGGACTCTCTCGGCCGGGCGCCTCAGACTCTGCTGCAGGCGAGACGTCGCCATGGTGAGCTGGCCCAGTTTCACCTGCGAAAGGTCCCGCGACTCCAACAGGGAGAGCAAGAGGCATTCCGCTGGAAATGCTTCTGCCTCCTTCTCCTTTTGTTCGCCTTCGAGCTGCGAGATCTTGGCAGAGTTCTTCTTCTCCA